GTCACGACACGTATCTCGTTAGCAGCTGTTAGTTTAGTTAACTACCAATGTCACGACACGTATCTATTAGCAGCTGTTGTTAAGTAACTACCATGTTACGACACGTATCTATTAGCAGCTGTTGTTAAGTAACTACCATGTTACGACACGTTTTCTTGGGCTTGTAATGAAGCACGATCTTCCATCTTTTTGAGGTTTTCAAAGTAGACAGCAATACGTTTTTCGTTGTTTATACAATATAATAAAAATATTAACATGAGCTAAGTGTATCATTTCAGCTCATCAAGTAGAGTTCCAAATGTTTAGAAAATAATAACTGAAAATCTGGGATTCAGTAAATTAGATAGAAGTGTATGTGAATTGAGGCTGGGTTAATTAAATATTGCCCTAAATGTTAGGGTTATTTTTCAAAGCAGTAAATAACAGGAGCTTTGGATTTCCCCAACATGATGTCATTGAATAGCGACAGTGATTAAGAGTTGGAAATACGTGTCGTATTTGGTCCTTAACCTCGGACGAAGCAGCCGTTAGAGCGTGTAGTTTTAGATGGTTGATACTCTTCCCTGATCAATGGTTTTAGAAGTTCGAAACGTGGTCTGAAAATATTACATCGTCTTTCATAATTCGCGCAGAATTGTCGGAACTTCGCGAAAACTGGAGGTTACGTGGAGTGCTGATCCGGTTGGATGCCGCCCACACTTCCTTGGTACACGTGTTAAGAATGTCAGAGCTCAAACTTGCAGAGCGCACGAGATAATGTCGTTGTACGGACGGAACAGTAGCAAGCATCCTGACAGACAGTTTCAACAGTAGCAAGCACCCATGACAGACAGTATTTCAAGACCAACTGTAACCAGATCAGTGTATCGATTCCTTTAGACCGGAAGTATAGCAGTTAACATTCTTGAAAAACACTTTGGTGGCCAAACGGTGCGTCACAAGTGATGTATTTAACACTTTTGTAGCCAAACGGTGCGTCACAAGCGATTTATTTAACACTTTGGTGGCGAAGCGGTACGTCACAAGTAATTTAACACTTTGGTGGCCAAACGGTGCGTCACAAGTAATTTATTTAACACTTTGGTGGCGAAGCGGTGCGTCACAAGTAATTTATTTAACACTTTGGTGGCCAAACGGTGCGTCGCAAGTGATTTATTTAACACTGTGTTAGCCAAACAGTGTGTCACAAGTGATTTATTTAACACTTTGGTGGCCACACGGTACGTCACAAGTAATTTATTTTCATATTTATCACTTTCGCTAAGTCTAAAGCACGGCAAAATTTAAACGATTTTATATATGTTTATTAGCACTGTTTTTATTCGCCAAGAATAAAATACACACGAAAAGAATAACTAAGCTAGGTATAAGGAACTGGGAAGGTGTATACCTGTGTTGACAGGGCCATATTGACAGTGGATATTGTACGTTTTAAGTTTAATTAGTTTTATTTTTTTGTTGAGTT